AGACTTGGAACTTTCTGCCATTAGTCCCCGTGTTATACTTTAATGATTTATCGCTGGTCCAGGATACTCCTTTTTTCAGGATTTTTCAATTATTTATTCTTTTACTTTTTGATTTTTTATTATTATTATACAGGATTTATATGGCGCCAACAGTGTGCGCAGCGCTTTACAATATAAGGAAGACATTACAATCACAATACAATTCAAGACAAGAAACAATTCAAGACAAGAAAAAAGACTTGGTTGACATTCTCGAAGGGTTCAACAAGCAAGGAACAACAGTCATTGAATTGGATTGGTGCATGATGACAGGAGAAAAGTGATCCACGCTGTGCCCTGGAGGACAAGGAGAATCTCGATGTTGGGTCTTCTTGAGATTTCACTGAAGCCACCAAGGCTGTTAATTGCAGAGAGCATGCCTTAGGTTCGAAGGTGAAGGATGCCACAATTTGAGTGTCTTCTTTATCACAGCACGTTCCGATAGATCTTTTTCTGCTCCCAGTGCAGAGCAGGGCCAGGACCTCTCTGCAACAAATCTGCAAAGTGGTAGCACTCATCAGACACTACAAGATGGTTGTCCTTCCAAGCCTTTGGCAGGATAGTATTACAGGAAGCGATCCAACCATAAATCTCATCGCTAGTCTTCCTGGAAGATGACCAGGGAGATTCAGAGTGAGTGTTGCCAGTAAATCCTTTTTAAGGAGCCTTCCAGTACAACGTAAATTCATGCCCTTTCTTATCTTCCGTTTCCCTTTCTACTCACTCATGGTTAATTGTTTTCTCCTGTACTTTTGCTGAAGGGGAACCCATCTTCTTTTCAGATGTTGCCTTGGAAGGTTCCTGGATATAGATATGTTGGTTCAAACTAGCTCTTAATTTATGGGCTACTACAGACATTAGCAAACCCCTCTGCCATATGGATTGGGGCAGCGGAAATATGGTGCGTGTGTGTGGCAGGGGAAATATGGTGTGGTATTCTAATTTATTTTATTCTAAAAATAAAATATAAATAACCATAAAAACCTCATTAGAATTATCAAGCCTCTTGGGTTTTAAATTGCATCTCTAGACAAATCTTTTTATAAAATGGAGACCTGTATACAATATTTTTGATTTGTCCCCAGAACAAAAAGTAAGGGAAAATCTTCCAGGAGGGATCTGATCTGGAGGCAACTGTCTCAGATGGATATTTCCCTCACTTTGCAAGATTTCCTTTAACTTCCTGTTTCTCTGGGACAGGAAGTGAAGGGTAATTTCCCCAATGGTACACAAACATGCCTAGCCCGATATTTCTGGCATCAGGAAGCCGGGCAGCTAGTCATTATATGCTGCCTGGCTTCCTGATTGGCCGGGTAGGCGGCTCCATGCTCTCTCGTCACTTGTGACAAGAGAGCATGGAGCCGCCTACCCGGCCAATCAGGAAGCCAGGCAGCATATAATGACTAGCTGCCCGGCTTCCTGATTGGTCGGGAAGCTGGCCAATCAGGCAGCCGGGCGCCCTGTAATGACGCAGACAAAAAGAAAGACGTCAGCAGCACTCCAACAACAATAACAGCAATTAGATGCTCATTTATTGACAGATGCTGTCTCTCATTGGCCAAATGAGCATCTAATTGCTGTTATTATTGCGGCTTCACGGCTAATCAGGAAGCCAGGTGGCGAGTCATTCCACCCCGCCTGGCTTCCTGAATGGGACTTTCGGTATCGGCGAGTACTGAACAAAAAATATCGGTACTCGTACTCCGTACCGGTGCATCCCTACTTATGAGACGGCCTTGCTCACGAGGGGCTGAAATTTACGGCCCCTTGGTAACGTGTCCCCGGAAATCATTTTAAAATGTTGTCCACTATGGCCGCAATATACTGATGGATATTAAACCGAATTTCTTCACCCAAACCCCCGGCCCTTCCATTCCATCCACTCCATAAAAACCTTATCTGTCGGGTTTTCTCTTTAATTAGTCTTTGCGGCTATAAAATACAATCCTTAGTGCTGACCCCTACACGTATTTATTCTCTATCTCGTTCCACTTGTACGTATTAGTCAGACATTGTTTATCGCCGCCCCCCCTCCCCCCCATCTCTCCGAGGAATATGATTCACACGTTTGCAGATTTATTTGAGCAAAACGCAATAAATATACAGCTTCAATTTTCCCCGCTGGAGCTCTGCCAGGATTTTTAATGAATCCGGCCTGTGCTATTGAAGTGGTCTAGGATCTCCAAAGCTCTAGGCTCTGTTAGATTATACACATACTCTCGCTCTCCTCCCCCCCTCTCGCTCTCTCGCTTCTCGTTCCCTACGGACCGTATGAGTCACACACCAGCGAGGTTTATTTTTCAGACTTGGCTCTGGTTAGAATTAGGAAGAACCTTGTTATGAGTAAAACAGAAGAAGGCCTCTTTCTCTGTCTCATCCGAGTAGGCCCCAGCTTTAACCTCGCAGGCGTTTGGCGGCCGGGCCCGTCATTAGCTGACCTACGCTTTTTTCTTTTTAATCATTAACCTTATTGCCAATTCCCTTGACCTGTAAACAGCTGACATGTCAGTGGCCACACCTAGAAGAGTGCCGGTGGAATTGCAGTGAGCAGCCGCTTGGTTTTATAAGGCTCGAAGGATATAAATTCTATTTTTGCTACCAAGAAACCTTTAAATTGGGCCTGGCATTCCAGACAAGGTCCACCTTTTTTTTTTTTTCCGTGTGGCCTTCCTTCCCCTTGCTGAATTAAAGTGCAAAAAAACAATTGCTCTTTGGGGGGTGAGGGTTAGATTAGATACTTGACTTTCCCCCTAACCGCAGGGAGGTACCATCACTATCTTGCCGGCGAGATTCCTGGGAATACTGAGCGGTGGTGTATCTAGGGTATGGCACATGACCTGGATGCCACTTGAAAGGGGGGGGGCGCAGCTCCGTGGGTTAGTGAAAGTTCACTAACTTGGCAACTAGAGACACTTTGGACAACATTCCACCCAGCTCCTGGCTACCAGGGCCATACACATTTCCCCGCCTGGCTCTTAAAAATCACAGCGGACAGGAAGTGAATGCAGGCGAAACCCCTTTGGCCAGCATCCCACCCAGCTCCTGGCAGCCAGGGCCAAACACATTTCCCCACCTGGCTCTTAGCAACCAGAGCGGGCAGGAAGATGTGTATGCAGGTGGAACCCTTTGGCCAACATCCCACCCACCTTCTGCCAACCAGGGCCATAGACATTTCCCCTAGGGTTACCACCTGTCCAGGATTCACCCGGACAGTCCGGGTTTTGAATGCTGTGTTCGGGTTTCATGGCAGCAGAAACCCGGACAAAGGTTGCCGGGCAGACAGAAGCAAACAAAATTAAGATAGGGGATACTACCCCACCCCCTCCCCCCCACCTAAAAATAGTCTCAACTGAGATATTTACATATGAATGGGTGCCGCTATTTCCATATGAATAAGCCACAACTCATTCTCCCAAAAAAATGTCCGTGCGTCGCTAGAGTGTTCGGGTTTCGCTTGAAGAAAAGGTGGCAACCCTAATTTCCCTGCCCGGCTCTTGGCAACTAGAGACACTTTTGATAACATTCTGCCCAGCTCCTGGCAACCAGGGCAATACACATTTCCCCACCTGGCTCTTAAAAAACCACAGCGGGCAGGAAGTGAATGCAGCCGAAACCCCTTTGGCCAGCATCCCACCCAGCTCCTGGCAACCAGGGTCATACACATTTCCCCACCTGGCTCTTAGCAACCAGAGCGGGCAGGAAGATAATGCAGCCGAAACCCCTAGGAAGTGAATGCAGCCGAAACCCCTTTGGCCAGCATCCCACCCAGCTCCTGGCAACCAGGGTCATACACATTTCCCCACCTGGCTCTTAGCAACCAGAGCGGGCAGGAAGATATGTATGCAGGTGGAACCCTTTGGCCAGCATCCCACCCACCTTCTGCCAACCAGGGCCATACACATTTCCCCACCTGGCTCTTAACAACCAGAACGGGCAGGAAGATGTGTATGCAAGCGAAACCCTTTAGCCAGCATCCCACCCAGCTCCTGGCAACCAGGGCCATGCACATTTCCCCGCCTGGCTCTTAACAACCAGAACGGGCAGGAAGATGTGTATGCAGATGAAACCCTTGGGCCAGCATCCCACCCAGCTCCTGGCAACCAGTGATGTCACTGGTTGCCAGGACCTGGGCAGGATGCCAGGGGCGCATTTTTTTGTAGCTACGCCTCTGATGCTACAGTAAAGAACAAGATCCTCTTCTCATTTGTGGTACTTTCCCCGGGACCTCATCAGAAAGGATTATGAGGTCACCCTCACCTAGACACCCCAGGGTACAGAAGGCACCCTGGTTGAGAAATGCTGATATAAGGTTATAGCTGCACTATACACCAGAGGTTACCAATGTGCATCCGGCCGATAGGGGATACAAATCATTTTCATGGATCCGCCCACGGTCCTGAAATGAGGAGTAATCCTCTTATTTTGGGGGCTATATGATGGAAGGAGACATGATAGTACCTCCTGTTCTAGAAGCCTTTGCTATGAGGCATGTTATTGACATCCTGAGCGTTATGAATTGCCTGGAGTTCTACTTTAACTCCTTTTGTTCCCCATGTGTAGGCTTGCCGCAGTCTCCTTTGTTTGTGTGGGCACAGGCTGTACTCTCTGCTCTGCAGTTTGCAAAGTGCGCAGTACGTTCCCAGTAATGTGCTGCATACAGCTGTGTATTATGTAACCTGCAATATTAATAGTAAGTTATTGCTGCGTGTTTTCCGGTGTGGCAGGTTGTTTAACACTTGGCATATAGGACAAGATGTTCTCCAGGCTGCCAGGATAATTGAGTACACCCTGGAAACTGTCAGAATAGCACAACCTAAAGACACCCATCTAATGAATACATCGCGTAGTGCAAGACCAGCAACTTTCATGGCATTCTGGTACATATCTTGCAAGCGATCTTCGGGCGGCAGGGTGCTGATGTTTGTGCATAGGCGGATTTGGACAGCATTGGGTAAAATAAGGTGGAAACCCCAAGTAATGCTAAACACTGTGCACCCTAACCCCTTTTTTTCCTCCTTGCAGCTCAGTTTTGCTTCCACTTCCTGTCTATATGCACTGCAGCAGTAGTTACAGACTATGCCTGCACAGTGTCTGTTGAAGCTGCTATAGTTGCCATTGCTGGCCCATGTGACAGGTGACAACCCAGGAGAAAAGCTGGAAGACTGGGACAGAGCGTTGTCACCCTATGACAGGATGTTTTCCCAACAAGGACCTCCGTGGCATGTACTCCTTGTAGTAAGATGTCAGGTATCGGTATCTTGACGGGTCCTGGAAGACCATCAATGGCAAATCTCTCACCTGCCCACTGTTCCCATCTGTGGTGGGCCTGTATTGCACCTCTGTAGAGTCTCCGGCTCATGTTGAACTGGTAAAGCTCGTTACAGTCCACAAATAGCCCCCCCCCCCCTCCCTTGGGTGCGGGGACTTGGG